AAATAAGTTCTGTGCAGAATCTCCCTGAAAGTATGAAATAGAAAAATAGTTACCTTGAAAAGCATTATAACAAAGCAGTAAAGCAGTAGGTATTAGTTTATTTGCTGAACTTCCAAGAAAGGATTTTAAAAACTGTAAATTCTCTTAATAATATGCGTGATTAGTAGAGTTTAAAAACATTTGAATTGCTCGGAAAAGAGAGGAAAAATATCAATATGCAATACATATGTTGAGACTGGTCTTCAAACTTGGACGTAAAATTAATTGCAAAAATAACGAATGAACATTATTCTTAAGATTGAGAAACTACTCGGGAGAAAGTTAAGGAAAATTTTCAAAGGTAAAATTCAAGTGGATAGACTGTAAGTATATCCACTAATAACATAGTTCAAACGTGCTCATTGAAGGATAGGTTGGATTTAAACTATAAATTAATGAATGTATTTACGTATATACAATTAAAAGATTATCATGAAAGCATAATAAAGCAACAGTGCAAGCAAAGTTTGTTTCGAATTAATCAAGGGAAAGACGGAGTAAATGTAAAGGGCAAGTTTATACAGGAAAGAGACGACCTTGATGCATCACAAGAACTAAATTGGACAAGATTCCAAGTGGAATGGAGAACAGCACTGCTGTACATAAAATGACACATCACTGTGAAGGAGAAGCTCAGTGTGCATATAAGGTCTAAAAATACAAGAAAATGAAGGATGCAAAATACTGTATCTAAGCTTGGAGATTCGGAGAAAAGTTTAAAGGACATCTCGGACATCAGCTATGTTTGCGGCAGCTCCATCCCCATTCGAACGGGGCAAAAGCACATTGGGAGCTTTGGGTACCCCTTTGACTTCAGCATTACTTAAGGATCTGTCCGCCTCAACCAACTCGGCCAGTCCAAATGCAAGCCTAAGATCATTTGCTTTGAATTGTTTGTGATTCTTGATCTTCTCATCCACTTTATTTACCTGCGCACTTTTATCAGCAATCTTAATGGGCCCCCTAGCAATTTCGAAAAGATTGCCCAGATACCTAGTCCCTTTTATGATCGGGCCAGTGTACTCAGTCTGAATGGCCATAGTTCGAGAGCTCAAAGTCTGGTCACCTAATTGTTGAGGGCGTTTAACAGGAGAGTTGTGCTCTTCAGAAGCTACCTGCACCGAGGATTGATCCGAGTTGTCGACTTGATTCCCATAAAATTCAGAATGAATGGAAGCTAAGGCTTCAAAACGACCTCTGTCAAAGATATGTTTCTGTCCAACAAGATCTTTAGATAGATGTAGATCATAATTGCTTGATACCTCTGTTAATGTTGACTTATTTTCTTCTTCAATAACATCTTCTGCCACTTCGTCTGCATCTTCCTCCTCTGGATGCAAAACTTCAATGTCATGTAATGCGCCTCCTGTATCACAGAGTAACCTTGGCTGTCGTGTCATTCGTAAATCAGGCAGTCTGGTAGCCTTCTCCATCAGTGACGAGCCAGCCCTGGAAGCTATAGAAGTGGGAACAAGTCGCAGGTTGCCGCCCAAGCGGTCTTGATCGGGGGCCGGTTGTAATTTTAGGTAGTTACTAGCCAGGTTAAAAAGCGAAAGACGATCCTCGTAATCGCTATCATCGAAAAATCGGATGTCATCGAAGTCATCGATGGTAAGCGCGCTTCGACGGCCTTGGTCATCTAGATCGTCCATATCGGGGTCCAGATCAAAAGCTTCTAAGCCAGGTCTTAACTCAGAGCCGTTGCCACTCGTAGAAAGATCAAATCCAGAGAGGACGTCTGTGACCGACTCTCTACCATCAGGGTGCCAAGTTCGACGACCCGCAGGTGGTGGATATAGGAGACGATTTGCGCGACAACGCAATTGCCCTGAGGCCAGGTGAGAGCCGGAAGGACAAGTAGCCGCAGAGGTGATGGGATCATGTCTATTGTGAAAGAAGTCTCCATTGTCACAGTTGCTGAATTTACTAACCTGCTCCTGTAGCAACATACAATCCAGCCCAAGGTTTTTAGTGGACATTGCATCAGCAGCATCTTTGTTGCCATCCAGGCAAACTGGGCTAGCAGAACCGATTAAATTAAGGTCGTTTAATCCGTTTATTGTGGTAAGAAGAGTCTGGTCGTCCTCTTTCCACACGTGTGTAGCCCGCCATTTAGCCCGTGAATACCGAGCTGCGAGAGTCGCGTTAAAATAAACAGCCTCACCATGCTGAACAAATAAATGACAAATTAGAGTAATTTTAATTTTCATATAACCCCTCCAGCTTTTTTACTGTATATTTTTACTCAATATTATTTTTTTATTATTTTAATTAGCTGCACTATGAAGTCACGAGACTGTCTGATTTTTATTGTTTGGTAGGGCCACCCTACCATTAAGCTTTAAATACTCAGAACTAGAATATATAGCACTTAAAGTACATCGATGAAAATTTTCTATCGACATTAAGAAAATCTGTTTCCGCAGATCACTTAACATACATGTCTTAGTCTACCAATGGCATTTTTACGTGTACCACCTAAAGCCAGGTAGAAAATTATGCAAGTCGGTGAATGCCTCCCCACTGAATATATGGGATTATATTCAGAAATGAGTTAACTGTGGAGGGACAGGTAAACTATAAGCTATACTGAAAAATATTCGTGATGAAAAGCCTAGTTGGGGAAGAACTTGCCAGGGAAATAATCAGGGTATAGATGAAACCAGCCTTGGATTTCTTGAGCATAAACGCCTATTCATTTCTGTAAGGGAAGAGTGCAATGAATGACGAAGTTTATAAGAAGGCTTTTGAGACTAACAGTAGATCATATCTATAAGAGGGTAATAAGGGGAATGGTAATTGAATTTTGTTACGATCATATGATTAGAGACCACGTTTTTAATGAATTTCACATAGCCTTGCTTACCAAAAGATATTACCATTCTTTGGCAAAGTCAGGGTTATGTAAAATTCAATGAAAATGTCATTGTTGGAATATTCAACTACCAGTCCCCTTAGCCTAAACGAAATAGGATAAATATATCTTATATGGAGCGACAACGAAGTAACCTAAAAAGTGTATGCAATAAAAGATATCTGCCGAGTACTTTTTAAAAATATTAACCATATATAGGAACGAACAGCTCGGAAAAGCCTTATTTCTAAATGAGAAAATATAAATAGTGGAAAAAATGAAGTGTGTAGATGAGACACATGGACAAAATCTTTACAAACATAAAGAAGGCCACCAACAAAAAAACGTAGCCTACCCAGGCCCATTGATGACCGGAAGTTTAGTAAGACCGATATCTTTCATCTGTTATAAGGAAACGACTTTCAAGGAACAGTGAGTTATTGTGGTATGACTCTCCATTTCGAAAAGAAAGTAGGTTGGAAGGAATTCGTAATGTGGTCTCACCAGAAGCTGAAGGAGGATGGTAGCGTAGAGAAGATTGTTGAATTGTGCGAAGAAGTACTCGGCTCACCGTCCTACGACCCGGATGAGACTGTGCTAAGCTTTCGTCTGTACTGTGACAGACATCATCAGAGCAAGATTACATACTTTACAGAATAGAGCAATAATATACTAGAGAGAAAAGGTAGCCAGCTGCAATCATAGTCGTTTTTATATGCTTAACATCGCGATCTTACTGAGGCCTCCTATGATTTGGTTGGCTATTTCAACATTACTCAACATGCTTGCAAATGAGTGAAGTTAGCTTCCCGGACCGGAAGTGCTTCCGGTCGTACGATTGACCAATTTTGAATCATACTGCCGTACCTTTTATTTTGTTTTAGAAAGGGGGTAGAAGGGATCTACACCCAGAGATAATATCAGGGAAGAGGATGAGCAAGGAATCAATCATACGATGGACGAACTTAATAATGAATAGTACATATTTTATCTTTAATGACAAATTATACCAACAAACAGGAGGGTGAGTAGCTATGGGATCGTGTTTGTCTCGAGTTTTAACTAATAATTATATGGCTCAACCGGAAGTCCGGCTTTTTCAAGAGTCACTCTAGTTCCGAAACTATTGGTCAGATAAATGGATGATTACTTTGCTATCTGGCAGCATGGCAAAAAGTGTTTGGATGACTTCTTTGGTTTAATGAATAAAGTAGATAGGGCGACTAAATTCACTATGGAGTTAGACAAAGAGAATAAGTCACCCTTTTAGATATTATAGTTAGTAAGGAAGGGAGCAAACTGGGCAGAGATGTATATAGGAAACCCACAAATGCAGGTTTCCTTCCTAATTTCTTTTCTAACCATACTTATGGTGTTAAGGTAGGCGTAATTAAATCAATGATAATAAGGAGTATACGCCTAGCGGACGTAAAGATATTGAGGAATAGGGTGAAAGAAAACCATTATTTTGGACAAAACAATGAATTAGACAACTCTTCGGCCAGGTTCCTTATGCCAACATCCAGCAAATATTCAATAAAAGTAGGCGAATTATTGAGGAAATGGAGTGTCAAGTCAATATATACAGAAACAATAATGATTTCTAGAAGTGGGTTGACTTCGTTGTCGCAACTTGGTCTTGTTTTCAGGGAGACCATGTAGAACGCACCTAGT